CGGCCCCCCGGTGCCGCCCGCCTCGCTTACCCCCCGCCGCTGCTCTTCTGCCAGGGGCTCGAGTGCTTGCCGGAGACGGTGGGGGGAGGGAGACCGTGCCACCAGGGTGCGGGCACACCACAGTCCCTCGTTCCGTCTTCCCCTCCGATTGGAGGGCACGCACGTGTGCTGGCGTACTCTGCCAGCCACTGGAGCTGGGAGCAAGCTGCAGCTGACCTTGTGGGACCCGCCAAGGGCCTGTTTGGGAACAAGCCACCATCTTGGAAGTCTGGGCTGGTCCCCACTTCCCCAGCCCTGGCAGCACTGAGGCACCCTCTGCCTGCAGACCGGCTTGACCCGACACCTCGACATGGCCCCACCCACAAGGTTCCACCCGCTCCCACAAGGGCCTGTGAGGGGCCCTGTGAGGGCTGGCTGGACCCCGCCGTGTGGCAAGGCCTCATCAGCTCACCCCCTTGTCCGCTCTCGCGCAGGGACTCCCACCTCACCTCACCATCGGCTCCCACAGATGCTGCCATTCCAAGCACTGCACACACCGCAGAGCCGGGCAGTGCAGCAGCAGTTGAGAGAGGTGGCCCCACGTGAGAGGGCTTCTGGTTCAAATCCAGAGCCCGCCCTGAGCACAGCGTGAACCTGTACTGGGACTGTTGTACTGTGGGCCCCGTCCTCTCTCACTCACGGGAGAGATACATTCACAGTTTTTTGGAGAAATTTTTGCTATAGGGTGCGTGCCCTTGCTGGCAAGACAGAGAGAGAAAAGGCAGAAGCCATCCCCCAGGGGCATGGCCACATCACAACCCCTTCTCCTCCATTCTCTTGGGATTTGGGCATGCACGCACATGTGGCCAGAGTGGTTTTCAAGCGTCCGGGACTTGAACCATGGTTGGCTATGTGAGAGTCTAATGCCTTAGCCATCATGCCACCTGCCGGCCCCAATACATAAACTTGTAAAAAGCCATCTTTTAACTGAGAGACAGGGTGAAGAGTCTCCAGGGGAGAGCCCCCTCAGGTCTGTGCAGACAGGCCGTCGCGGATCCATGGCCAGTACCCAGATGCAAGCCTCGGGCCCGGTGCGGAGTGGTCATGGTGACTGCGTGATCGGACCAAGAAGACAGATCCCACGGGGATCCGCCGGTGCAGACTACCTAGGGTGGCCCAGCACAGAGTCAGAGGATGGCGGCCAGCGGCTGGAGGACCCGGCGACTGCGCGACGGGGACGGTCTGTCAGACGGTGCGCAGGCACTCACAGCCCCGCGCTGTGCACAGAAGTGGCGAGGCGGTAACGGGTCACGGGCATTCCAACACAGTACCAAACTGTAGGGGCGTTTCCGGGTCTGTGACGGGGACGCCCTGTCATCCAAGAGCAAGGGGGAGGGTCTCCACACAGACGAGGGGTGCATTTGGCTTCATAAACAGACGCCGCCGCCCCACAGCCCTGGAGCTAAAACCTAGACACGGACAGGACGCCGCCGGGCTAGCCGGGGCTGGGCTCCCTGGCCCGGGCGGAACTTGTGCTGACGGTGAGGGAGCACCAGAGGTGAGGGGCTTGGAGAGGCCGAGAGCACGAGTGTGCCTTGCACCCACCATGTCTCGGAGTAGCCCGCTGGCTTTCTGGGCTGCCGGCTCACGACCATCTGTGTGTCTCAGGAAACTCGTGGGCAGGGCCTGCTGGGGCCCGGCTGGACACCTCAGCTTGCCCCGGCCCGGGTGGGATGGCCGCAGAGGACGACCTCGTCCAGAGGCCCGGGAAGCAGGTGGGCAGGAGGGGCAGCGCGGCTGTCCTGTGGGTGCCCATTCCCTGCCAGCAGCTGCCGCCACCCTGCAGGGGGCCCATGGGGGACCGCACTGGCACTGCCCTCTTCCTGAGGGCGCA